CGAGATGAGAATGATTAGGTGGATGAGTGGCTTTACACTTAGAGACAAAATGTGAGATGAATATATCCGTGGTAGGGTTGTTGTAGCTCCTGTGACAGACAAAATTAGAGAAAGTCATCTTACATGGTTTGGTCACATTAAACGTCGACTATCTAATGATCCGATTAGGAGAGCAGATGCTTTACATTCGACTTGTGTTAAGAAAGATAGAGGTAGACCTAGGAAAACTTGGGCTTATTGTATAAAAAATAATCTTATATTACTAGAACTAAATGAAACTATGACACTAAATAAGATGCAGTGGAGAAAAATGATTCATTTAGCCGACCCCACGTAGTGGGATTAAGGCTTTGTTGTCGTTGTGGTTGTGGGAGACGGAGATGGAGAAACACATCAATTTCCTTGATCGTTGAGTATTTCAACACGTACATTGACCGCTCTCGGTGCTTCACATCATCTTATATCAGAGACAAATGAGTTGGGGAATTGCCTGCTGGGCATCCAACCGGATTCAACATGTTTTGCATGAGGTAGGAGGTATTTACAAATCTTCTAACATAATTTAGTGGATCTCATGGTTTTCATGGGTCATTGAGGACGACTTAACATGAGGTGTTGGCGATGACTCTTTACATATTATCACAAAACCAATCAATGCGTGTTGCAATGAAACGATTCCAACACTCATCTGAGACGATCAACATGTACTTCTCTGTAAGTCTGAATGCACTTGTGAGTCTATCTACACAAGTCATAAAATTAACCGATCTGACGTTCATACAAACTCCTACGGAGTTTCAACGTGATGCATGTACATGTCGTTCTTTAAGGTAACATTTATAATTTCTTGTATTTCATTTTAAATATGAATAACGGACATTAATAGGTCAAAGTTATCTGTGTATGATTACATTGGAGCAATATATGGTACCCACGTTGATGCGATAGTTAAAAATGAGAAAAATATTGCATTTATAGGACATTATGGAGCCCCTACGCAAAATGTGATAGCTGTGTGTAACTTTAACATGTGTTTTACTTTCGTCATGCCCGGTTGGGAGGGTAGTGCGCACGACAACTGAATTCTTAAAGCCGCTACGCGGAATCCTAACTACAACTTTCGACACCCTCCGCACGGTATGTTGCATTCTCAAATCCTTTGGTTTTTCAATGCATCTAGGGAAATGTTATTTGGTTGATGCTGGCTATCAATTGCAGCGAGGGTATCTGAAACTCTTTCCTACTACAAGATATCATGTGTGTGATTTCGAGCAAGCCAGCAATATTGCACGTGGCAGAAAAGATGTGTTTTACAGAAGACATTCATTTTTACGAGGTGTCATTGAGAGGACTTTTGGCTTTTGGAAGAAGAAATGGGTGATACTACGAGATATGTCATCTTATCAAATTCCCAAACATGTCCAGATAATGATAGCCACAATAACACTGCACGATTACATTAAGGGGCATCCGTCTCGAAGCGACATTGACTTCCGCAGTGCCGAAAATGATCAACTTGTCCCTGCAGAAGCATTCCAGTGTCACCTCGGGGATTCTCTGCGACGAGATGATAATGATATTTTTACTATTTGTACGAAAGAAGGGGAATGTGCAAATGAAATGACGATCCTTAGAGAACAAAACACTGATGCGTTAGTCGGAGGGTGATTAGATTATTGTGTGGTTTTACTGACAATTAGTGTTGTCTAGATTTAATATGTTTTTCTTCTTATTTCTAATAGTTTTCAGCTTAAAATAGATGACTAATGGTTTCTATTTCACTGCTTTCAGGAAATATGAGCTCCAGAAATTCAGAGACGTCCCGAATAATCCTGAATATTGTCATACTACCGTGAACTAGAGACTTCCTTTTTGAGATCACGTCGACCCACAGCCGACACTTTACAGATGCCCTCGGAGACTCGCAGAATAGTGCAATTTCTTCCGATGGGCTGACGGTCAGGTTGACTCTACTGCCGAAAGCGATCGGGTATTTATAACATCATTGGAGGACAATTTAGGATGAGATATACACCGTTTTCATGTTAAAAATAATATCATTTTTATTTTACATGTAATTTTATTAGTTTTTTTTTTCTTAGCACTTTTAGTATTCACTGTTAAGTGAGTGGTGTATCTGAATTTTTGTTCTGTTTTAAACTGGATTTCTGCTTCTGAAGTATCAAATATATCATCGTTAAAATTTTGCTTCAAACAACTTCACTAAACAGGGTAGAAAGTCATTTTTTAAGAAAAAAACTATCTCACAGCCAGCCAGCTTCCCCGCAACAATTTTCTGGGGCCCAAATAGACTCTTAATCTTTCTAACACAGAATCTAGAGGTTTGTTAAAAAGAAAGAACAAGAGTTTAGAAAATTATACCTGTGTGACGGTTGAGGCCACGTGCTCTTTACTCATTCTCTACAAGCCACCATCCTGCTGACTCCTTGCTCGTCGGAGAGAAGCTTCGAAACTGCTCGTCGGAGAGAAGCTCACTGTCTTTCAAAACATCTGGCGAGGTCTCAGACGAGCGAGAGAGGTCTTGTTGTCGGGGAGGAGAAGGAAAATAGGACTTTCGACGGTCTCAG